AAGTGCGTGACAACCTCAGGCGGCAAGCCATTGCAGTGCACTTCGAACTTACACGACCTTGCGCCCCCTGGTCGTGACGCCGCCGGTGGTGCGGGGAGTGGCGCGCGTGGCGTGTCTGTTGTCTGCTGTATTCAATTTTGTCTGCGCTAAGTGCGTCAGTGACATTGTCGGCAAGGGAGTTACATAGTGGAAGAAGGTGTGTGTGCTTTTTCTGTACATAGGCTGATAGCATTTTTACCAGACAAGCGGAGGTCTTTGCTTTAAGAGTTTTGCCTCGCACGTACCTACATAAGGCGGATAATATTTTGTATTGACAGGTCACCTTCCTACCTACCTAGACCCATAACGTTCATTCAGTCACAGGTGGTTATGCGCCATCCGGCTGGATCTGGATTTCATGATGAACATATGACGTCATAAGACAATCGGAAAACAGCCAGATTGTGCTGTCGTTTGCATGCCTCGATCACAAGCCGTGTTTTGTGATATATTCCATAGGCATTTATGTACCTCAAGATTATGAATCTCTAAATAAAATATAAGAACAACGCAAAAAGGGCTGATGCACGCACAACGAACTCTTGCAACACAAATTTTTCGCATAAATAAACGACGCCAACTTTACGGTGCGGCGAAGCAGACAGGTGAGTCACTCTCCACTTCAGTGGCAACTCTAACGTTGCAACTCTGGTGGAGACTCTGATAACTTAAAAACGATCTTTGAAGTAATCAAACGATGACGTAAAGAAGATCATATTTGTTTAGTAATGGAGTAGCGCCATTGACAGCAATCTTATGTGCTTCGCATCGCATGGCGAGAAGGGAGCACGCATGAAGGAGTGACTACGGATCCGCGCCAATCCACGTTGACACCAGCCCAGCAGATGATAGCGCGCCTGGGAGGCAGTCTGTTCAGTGAGGTAATGACCGTGGCCTTCGTCGGTGGTTGGCGGCCAACCTATAAAAGCGAAAGTACTGCAGAAGCAGGCACCAGTTTCACTGCATGCTCGGCCACCAAAACACAACATGCAGGCATGTGCTTGGGCTGTATTGTTGATGTAGCAACTTGTCAGATGCTAGCTATTTTTTTCGACAAAAGCACCGTGGTCGGAAATATAACAGGGATGCTGGAATGAGCGAGTCATTGATAACATATCTTCTACGGCATTGCAGGTACTCGTCGTTGCCGCCGTGCTGGCTGTTGCAGCTGCCGCCCCAGCCCCGGATACACCGGTGTACAAGCCCGCCCCGGCCTACAAACCGGCCTCTTACCACCCGAAGCTCCAGTACAATGAGGAGGCCAAGCCTTTCGCTTACGACTACGCCGTCAACGACCACTACACCGGTACCAACTTCGCCAAGAAGGAGGAGAGCGATGGTCACAACACCCAGGGATATTACTCGGTCGCTCTGCCCGACGGCCGTGTCCAGCACGTCAAGTACGTCGCCGACAACTACGGCGGCTACAACGCCGATGTCACCTACGAGGGAGAGGCCCAGTACCCCGAGCACCACCCCGCCCCTGCCTACAAGGCTGCCGCTCCGGCTTATAAGCCTGTCTACAAGCCCACCTACAGCCATCCCGCCACGGCATACAGGCCTGTGACATACTAGTCGCAGGGTGAGAACGGCTGGTTATTCAAACTTATTCATGATTGTGTTATGGTGCTTTTCGTTTTTTGTCTTGCGTTACTTCAATAAACAACATTCTTTCGAATCGTGTCGTTTTATCGAAGGTAATTCTATGCCTTCCACCAGGAAATGTCTCTGATCTGATAGTGGGAAGCGACGTCTTCATAAACTGAAGACAACGACCACATGCTGTTTTGTGATGACTTTTAGCAACGACCTGTCATGGATTGCTGGTGCTTAGAGCGCGTCATCTTTGCAAGGGTCCTTAAATCCTCGGTTTGATTGCAGAGGAATTACATAAATTTCATTTTCCGGAAGCAAAGTTTCTGTATCAATACAAGTGTCCTATGAAGGCATCACGCTGAAACTACGTGGCAGGTGGATATCAGTACATGGTCTTACCAAACACCTCTAGCCTATGACCGTCTGAGGGCTGAGATCTTGCTGCCTGTTGTTTTGGAGCGACCTCCGGACAGTGCAAAGTGAGTACAGTATGTTTACAGTGTCGCCAGGTGAACAAGGTGTCAGTTACGTGGAAATGGGCTCTCGATGTTTAACTGGGCCACGGAGTCATGACATCTCCCGTGAGGACTCTTAAGATGTTCCCGTTTCTAGCCGCTACAACTCCCAATTTTTTTGTTGCCTTGAAGTGTTTAATGCGCACTCGGGTGGGGATCACTTGACCCTCCGAAGCTTTTTCCGGAATGCTTTTCGAAGGCGAGGCTTAGCCGCTTGAAATTTTGCATAGCTGTAGACAACTGAATAGCGGATTGTTTGGTATCGTTTCATAAACTTGGATGTACCTTGTAAGGTCGCTGACTTCGGCAGGTCAAGTTGGATTCAGCGAGGTCAATTTCTAGGAAATCGTTCGATATCATGCAACAAAGGAGTGTCAGACAAAATCATAAATCTCTGAAATTATTATTTTAGTCGACACAAAAATTGAATGAGCAACTTAAATCAACCAAAAGTCAGGTATGAAGGTCAGACCAAGGTAAAACCAATCTGTTTTATTACTATAGGGCTTGCTGTACGGGATTTGTTTCGCTTCTGGTGCTCATTTTGAATTGATTAACAACAGAAACCGCATTGCGTATCTTCAATACACTTTCTAAAGGTCAGAATAGCTCCCTGACCTAAAATAACCCGTGGCAACATTTTTCTTATGAAACATACCGCATTGCTTAATCTTTGTCGCTTATTCAAATGCAAAAATCAAAGCAGCCTTCCATGATTTAGGTCAGCATGACCTTCAAAATGCCAAACAATGTCACTGACATTCAATGGGCATGTGACCATTCTTCTAGGTTAGGTATTTAGGTTCTGGAGCATTTGAGAAACCAGCCTGGAGTTTAAATTTGTTGAACGTTATTTGCCACGAGGGTCACGACACAGGAGCATCAAGCTTTAACATAAGTGAGCTCATGTTCAGGCCAACACACCATGTCAAGCTGGTGGCTCTAGCACTCTCGGCTCCTGAGATCTCAAGGGGGTCAAAGTGAATCCCCAAGCAAAGGATATCCAAACGGCCATCCGGGCGCGTGTTAAAGCGATTCATCCCCTGACATGGCGCCTGGACAGCCAGGGTTAATCTTACCCGGTCGTATAGATGGCCAACACAGCCATGTAGGTGAATTGAGATTGGCGGATGATGCTGCACGAAGAAAAGTTTTCTGTCCATCTACAACAAACAATGCGATATAAGTCCATGTCCAAACCGATGTCTAGCATGGGCCCGTTGCGAACACAAGGAACAGAAAAGTGACGACCGTAAGTCCAAGTCATAGATTCTTGACAGAAAAGACGTAGCGCATGGCTCCAGTGTTTCTTTGTTTTCATGTCACCGGGACGTGAAAAGCAAAACTATTATAATACTTAAATTTGCGATCTTAAGATCTGTCTGTAGAAGCCACAACCATTATCCTTGGCTGAACTGGCGCCGCTGCTGCGGGTTGAATATGGATCGTTTTATTACGTCGTATTTCCATAAGCTTTGCTAATTCCTGACTCCCATCATGCCAGCCGCTCAAGCTCAAATTTCGTGATAATGTTTATGACCTTTCTCACCCGGAAAAATGAACCTCTCTATGCCTCGGAGAGCATGGCATTTGTCTTCTCGTGTGTATTTTTGTGGTGTGGTCTCCTACTTGGATTTGACACGGAAAGGCTTAGTTTTCCTAGTAAGAGCAAACCACTAGAACAGTAGTGCGATGCCACAGACAGGAATATATGCCGTCATGTGGCTATAAGCTCTTTGTTGTATATATCATAGGCAAAAATATCCACCTAGAGAAGACAGTAGTAATAGCCCTATTCCTCGAAGAAAACAAGAACAGGAGAATTGAGATAAGCATGGATTGATATTTCGGCAGCATGCCTTTATCGAAACAACAGCAGACGATGGCTATGAGAATTGCATGGAAGGTGGAATCGCGATACGCACCATGGCTGGTCTGCGGCTCGATGGTTCTTCATGTACTTCGGCATCCACTGTAAAGGAAGTGAAGGTTTGTGTTAATGAACTGGTGTTTTCACACGCTATCGTGCCTGACGTGCGTTGCTCATGCTGCTACATGTTCTTTCTATCTTGCACCATCAGTTGTGCCTGGCAGCTTGCCTTTTGCACATTACGGACCGTCCGGATACTCAGTTTCGTTTCTTGCAGATATTACATGTGACGTATTCGGCATTGCAGTCAATCTAGCCCCGTCATTATCTCTACGGTTAGCTGCCGTTTCGATCTTTAACATTCATTCTCAACCCTCGGGGCGCGACGTTCTAGCTCGGTGTCACGGATCTGGGGAGAGCGGTAGGCGCCCGGGGCTGCTGCAACTGAGACGGGTCAGCGGCCGCAGGGTTGCCGCGTGCGGAGACGGACGTGACCAACAGGGAGTGGCCGTGAGAGCCCAGCTGGGGGTCCATCGCCAAACGGTCGTATGTGGAGGGATCGGACCGTGACCTAAGGCCATCAGCGACTTGGAGCTGGCGCTTAAAAGCGAAGGCGTTGTGGAGAAGGCATCAGTTGCACTGCATTCCCTGCCATCAAAATGTGTAGCATGAGGGTGCGCACAAGTGATTCAGCTAAAACTACGATATTGGTCGCTATGGTGGTCATCTCATGTGCATTTGTGTGCATAAAAGATTAATGCGGTGTCAGATTCAGATTATGAATCATAATTGCAGGAGCTACATAGCTAAGAGAAACTTGTCGAAAACAGTTAAAGATCTGATATCAGTTCCGATCAGCAATGCGTTTCACTATGTATAAAGTATCACATTTTCGTTCCCAGGTCTTGGTCGTCGTCGCCGCCCTGGCCGCCGCCGCCGCCGCTGCCCCGGCTCCTGACTCCCGGTCGTACCATCCGGAGACCCATTACAAGGAGGAGGCCAAGCCGTTCGCCTACGACTACGCTGTCAGCGACCACTAAGCCGGCACCAACTTCGTCAAGAAGGAAGAAAGCGATGGCCACAACATCCAGGGATATTACTCGGTGGTTCTGCCCGACGGCCGTGTCCAGCACGTCAAGTACGTCGCGGACAACTATGGCGGCTACAACGCTGAAGTCACCTACGAGGGAGAGGCCCAGTACCCCGAGTGTCACCCCGCTCCTGCCTACAAGGCTGCTGCTCCGGCGTACAAGACTGCTGCCAATGTTTACAAGCCCGTGTACAAGTCCGCTACCCTCGCCCATCAGTCAACCGTCACCACTGCTTATCAGCGTACTTCCCCGTCCTACAAGGCTACCACTCCAGCCTACAAGCACGCCTTTAAGCCTGCTACCCCAACATACGGGACAGCTGTCCCTGCTTATCAGGCAACAGCACCTGCCTACCAGTCCACTGTCCAGGCCCACCAGCCTGACTTCAAGCCTGCCGCCCCTGCGTACAATGCCCTTCCTCTTTCCTACACCCCTGCGGCTCTGGCCTACACAACTGCTGCCCCGGCCTACACAACTGCTGCACCGGCCTACACAACTGCTGTCCCGGCCTACACAACTGCTGCCTCGACCTACACATCTGCTGCTCCGACCTACACATCTGCCACCCCGGTAGACAAATCAGAGGCTTCTCCGTATAAGTCCTCGACCTCTGCCTACAAGCCTTCCCACAAGGTTGCTGTCCCGAGCTTGAAGCCGGATGTGACGTATTAAAAGCGAGCATGTTGTGTTGACGTTTTGAAACTATGCGTTGTTATGTGACATTATGTGTTGTGCATGCCAGGAATGTTTAGATAAAGCAGTGCTTTTTTACGCTGGTCTTTTCTGTTAGTATAGACATATCAACAAGTAATGCATTCTGGGAAGATGACACAGCTGTGATCTACGGTATGTGATAATACTTGCGGTGTCGCATTCCAGAAGTACTGTAGTGCACGTTGCAGTACATAAGCAATATTTGGATTAACTCGTCCTTGCACATTAAACATGATTGACCTGGAACGAGGACACAGTGTTTGAGTCACACTCTTTCCAAACATGCGCATTCGGCCCAAATTGATCGCACGACCGATTATCCATTAGACAAGAACTACATCACTTCAAGGGTTGGATCAGAACGTGTTTCATATTTAATCGTTATGTCACAAATTGGGCGGCCATTTGTGCAAGTGTTCTGCGTGAGTGTAGGCGCTCTTCTAAAGTACTTGGATGCGACTTGAAAACACCAGCAGTCACACTAGCAGGCCATCCATCAGTCACACTGACAGGTCATCAGCCCTTGGAATCAGAAGATGAACATGCTGAACTTTGTTCTATCGCCGCAAGACGATCCGAAAGAAAAGCTGCTATTTCGACCCGGTAACGCGGTAAGCTGCATTTCAGCGACGTGGTACCATATCGGGCGTTCACCCAGTCACACCAGCAGGTCATCAGTCAGTCACACTAGCAAGTCACCAGTGGGTCACACAAGTCATCATCCAGCCACCCTCGCAGTTCATCAGGCAGTTACACTAGCAGCTCATCAGCCAGTTACACTAGCCTTTATCAGACAGTCACACTAACCGGTCATCAGTCAGCCACACTGATAGGTCATCAATCAGTCAGCAGCAGGTCACCAGTCAGTCACACTGTTGAATTATCAGTCAGTCACATTTGCAGCCCATCAGTCAGTTACACTTGATATTCATCAGTCAGCCACACTTACAGGTCATCAGCAACTCGAAACTGAAGATGAAAACCTAAGTTTTGTCCTATCGCTGAGTGATGATGCAGAACCAAAATTTGTATTTCCACTTGGTAGCTCAATAAGCTGAATTTCAAAGATGTGGTGCGGTGCTTGGTGTCCACCCAAGCTGCCCTGTCACCCAAAATGATTTTAACGAATACCATGGCGCAAAACGTCGTACGTATCCGATGTTTTAATGACATCTACGCCAACGTTTTCAGTCACGATAATCGACGTACGGTATAGACTAGCAGCATTAAAGCTCTTTACTGACCAGCGCGGGCGACGCGGGGGCCACATCCGTCGCAAACAAGCAGGCAGTGTTCGGTTTATTTGTCGCGTGCGACCGCCAGCTCAGCTCGGCTCGGCATCGAGGTGGCCAGCCGGCGCACAAGGAGCCGCGGGGCGATGGCAGTGACGCGCGCCGACAGACCTCCTCGACATCCACCGAACGTCCGAGACGAGCTGGCGCCGGCGAGGCCCGCCGGAGGCCGCCGGCCCACCCGAGGAGGCTCGAGCGGCGGAGCCCGGACCGAGCCGTCGCAGCGCCGGCGCAGCACACCTCCTGAACAGGAGCACCAGGGAGTGGATTGAGCACGAGTCGCCGACCACGGCGAGTTAGCGGCTCTAAATGGAAAACAGCATATTTCGATGCGACGCATCTAAATTGTCCTCACACGTCTGCTGATGATCTGGTGCAGCTTCGCAAAGCATATTTAACATAATTCCCCAACCGCCATATGGGCAATAAATTGCTCTAGAATACGCTAGGACAAGGAAGACAACCGCTATCTTGGCGAGCGGAAACAACAATATCTTGCGAGTCTTTACGGCAGGCGTCATGACTTAATGACCCACACAGACATCACAAGTCACATAACCCCATAAAATGACAGCTTGGTTTCTCGTAGCTCTGCATACGTAGCGTACACGCTTGTCACATTTTGGACGTCGTCCAACGACCAGGGAGATCTGCTCAGCCCTCAGACGGTTGCCGGTCAGAGGTGTGCAATAAGACCATGTGCTGAGACCACCTGTCCACAAGTAAGACCACCTGTAAGACCACCTGTCAGGCCGTTTCAGCGTAATACTCCCATAGGTCACCCCTTGTAATAAGTACAGAAATTTGGTTTCTGAAAAAAAAATGTTGAATTCCTTTGCAATCATCCAGAATATTTAAAGAGCTTCCAAAGATACAACGCTGTAAGCACCACGAATCCATGAAAGGACATCATTAGCTGGTCATTATAGATATTATTGTGGTATATAGCTTCGGTTTATGAGGACGTCGCTTATCACAGCCAGATGAGAGATTCTTTGGAGGTGAAAAACCCAGAATTATCTCCGTCCATCCCGCACATTTAACACGCATTTTTCATTGAAGTAACGCGTGGAAAGAAATGAAAAGCATCATGACACACATACGGATATATTTCAAAAGGCACCCGTTCTAATCCCGTAACTAGTATGCCGTAGACTTGTATGCCGGGGCAGGATGACCGTAAGCAGGCTTGTGGACAGACTTGTAGGTCGGGGCAGCAGCCTTGTAGACAGGAGCGGGGTGATACTCGGGGTACTGGGCCTCTCCCTCGTAGGTGACATCAGCGTTGTAGCCGCCGTAGTTGTCGGCGACGTACTTGACGTGCTGGACGCGGCCGTCGGGCAGAGCCACCGAGTAATATCCCTGGGTGTTGTGGCCATCGCTCTCCTCCTTCTTGGCGAAGTTGGTGCCGGTGTAGTGGTCGTTGACGGCGTAGTCGTAGGCGAACGGCTTGGCCGCCTCCTTGTACTGGGGCTCCGGATGGTAAGAGGCCGGCTTATGGGAAGAAGCCGGGTGGTAGGGGGCCGGAGCGGGCTTGTGGCCCGGCGTCTCCGGTGCCGGGGCGGCAGCGGCAACAGCCAGCACGGCGGCAACGACGAGGAACTGCAATGCCGTAGAGGATGTTAGACGGATCAAGCAGTCATTTGAACAGCGCAGGTTTGCTACCATACTTCCGTGCAGTTTAAGACGTATCGCTAATCCCAGGGTCTACATAGTTTCAAATTGACTGTCTCGCAGCCAACAGGACACCAAATCAATGGTATTATTCCAGTACCTACCTGCATGGTGTGTTTTGATTGTCGGGTATGCAGTGCAAGTGGTGTCTGCTCCCTTGGTGCTTTCGCTTTTATAGGTCGGCCGCTAACCACTGATAGACGGTCACGGTCAGATTCCAGTGAACGGACGTCTCCAACGGTGTCACCGGCTGCGCTGACGAATTCGCACGGAATTCCTGGTACACGCCCACCTCTTAGGAGTTGACCAGAATATACTCATGACTTTGTATATGGACAGGTCATTTACTTTTCGCAGGTAAGCTGGACGATAAATGGCAGAGAACATGTAGCTTGTGACGCAGCGGGATGGTATCGATCTTTCTTGGCGATGCGCTGAACTCAGAACAATCATACCAGCAATTCGGAGCGACGTGTTGAGGCAGTTAATATTTCCCTTTAATCCCCAACTAACAGCTTCTCTGGCCGCGACCAAGTCACATTTTGGCCCGATCGTATGACATCCCGTTTGCTACATTTCTGGTCGTTGTTCATCCGGAAGTAATTGTGACGTGGGTTAAATGCGACGAGAATTCAAAATTTGAGAACATAGGTATGGTATAAGCGTATGAGAATGGAAATTTGTTATAGTTTATGTCATGAAGATGTCATCACACACATCATTTCTCAAACAAGCTCAGGTGGGAGCAGAAGCTGGGGGCCAAGCAGATGCATGCATGTGCATGTTTTGTTTCGAAGTGTGTTGTGGGTAATTAAGCTCTCAATTGACTTTAACAGCTATGAATCGTGTCCTTTTCAAACGTATCGACGCCACGCATATCGGCACATGTCATTTTCAAATGCGACGATGTTGCCGCACACATAATAAGGCTTTACACGGCAACATCCGGTTGTGGTGTAGACGAAATCTTGGTTTTTTCTAATAAGTTTAGCTGAAAGCCTTCGATGCCCAAGCATTCCACGGTGTCCAAGTTTTTGACACGTAGGTAAGCCGTGTTGGGGAAATCAAAATTACGTAGGTTGTCAAGTGTAACTGGGAGGAACATTATGCGTATAAATAAGACGGCAGGACTAGTTCTATTCTTCGTAGGAAAGAAACCAGGAGAATGGAGAGATAGATGCGTTGGTATTCTGAAAACATGCTCTGGTCGAAGAAATTGACGAATGACGAATATCAACGCACCTATCTCTCTATTTTCCTAATTTTGCT